TGTTTCAGCCTCAGTAGGCTAGATTCTGGTGCTCTCACTTACATAGAGTAGCATCAACAGAAGTGGTTCCACTGATTTCACTTTCAGAGTAGCAGCCGTGTTAGTCTGTATTTGCAAAACGAAAAGGAGTACTTGTGGCACCTTAGCGACTAAGTGAGCTGTAGCTCACGACAGCTTATGCTCAAATAAATTGGTTAGTCTCTAAGGTGCCACAAGTACTCCTTTTCTTTTTACTGATTTCACTGAGGCTTTTTGTGAAAAGTGATGCTCAAAGTGAGTGAGGGTGGCAGAATCTGGCCTACCGAGGTTTTAACTGATTTTTTAACTCTTATTTATTGCCTATCAGGGTTATACTGAGTGACAACAGCATGCCCTCAAATAATATGTGTGAAAAGAACATTAGTTTAAGTAGGTATGTTTTGAATTCTGTGCACTCCAGATCTATAATTAAACATTGTTACGGGAATGACGAGTAAATGTACAGAGTTAATTCTTCCCTTCAGTATTCAGCATATTGTCGAAATATCAATTTCAAAAAATCAAACCTAGTGGCTAACCTTTTACAGGATAAAACCCACAATGGGCCTGATCTCACAAGGTACTGAGCACTCCCAACTTCCAGTCACTTCCTGGTTGCTGAGGATGCTCAGCACCTTGCAGAATTGGATCAGCAGTTTTGAGCGGAATGCAGTTCAGATGAGAACCTCTAACTTGATTTGCATGATCAAACTTTTGGATATTAAAATAGGCTATCAATAAATTCGTTGATAAATATTCTAAAGAAAATAGGTGTATACAAGGAAGCTTGCCAAGAGATTCCAGATGTGAAACCAATATAATTGGAGATATTCAAGGCAAAACTAGGAAAGGAAGAAAGTTATGAAAATAATCCTGCAGTGGTGTCTGGGGACAGGAAGATATCCTCTCCAACTCTAGTATCTATGAATGAAGATGAGAACTTCAATATAAATAGGGTAGCTAATTTCTAATTAGTCCATCTGAACAAATACAATGGACTGTTAAAACTCCAGATCACCAGTAATAAATAAAGCACATCACTACCCCCAGAACTTGGAAGACTCTACAATTGTCTTACGGTAAAGGTTGAGAAAATTAGATAAATACTTTATCAATGACCACAGTGTCATCTGTTGTGTGTCTTGTTCTGCTGGCAGCAACAACATTTATATAAAGTTAGCTATACTGCAATCTCTTTCTTCTCTCACATACAATAGAAATTACCTAGACATACATTTGACTAATATGGTGCATGAGGCCTTTTGGGCTCAGAACGCAGAGCTCTGATGATTTTGTTCCAGAAAAACATCATATAAATGGTGTGACTTAGGGTACGTCTAGTCTAAAAACAATAGAGAGGCGTAGCTGCAGCACTGTAGACCCTACAGTGATGGAAAGGGTTCTTCCATTGCTGCAGTAAATCCACCTCTCTGAGAGATTGTAGCTAAATTGGTGGAAGAATTGACCTCGCGCTGTCTACACCGGGGCTGAGGTCGGCTTAACAACGTCTCTCAGGGGTAGGAATTTTCCCTCCCCCGAGCAACGTAGGTAAGTGTAGCTAGGTTTCTAGTGTAGATCAACTCCAGGACATCTTTTCCTGATGTACAAATACTGTAAAAATCATGAATGTCTATGGCAAAATTAATTTAAATGTTATCCATAGAATCCAGCTGCTCTACAGTATTACTTGTACTGTGTGTATTATTCTCCTTTATTATTATGGGCCTCTTTCCTAGGGTGTGCTGTATAAAGCTTCTTTTATGAGACACTAGTGTGCCAAGTGCTAATAATTAATAACCTGCATCTGAAGATTTAGGCATTATACTGTAACTCAGAGATAGATTTTTTTTCAATCATCAAAGCAATAGTTTTGTGCTATATACCCAACTACCAATGAATATCTGATGTAAACTATACATATAATAACATACACACATAAAATATGTATAGTCTATACACATATTGCAGAGCCCAATTATTCTATTACTTCAGTGGCCTTCCACTTTGAGCAGCTGCAGAACTAGGTCCATACAGTTTATCAAAAATATATTTTTGAAATATTTCTTTTTTACCTTCCTATGAAACTACACATTGGAGGATAGTAGAGGTGTCCAAGAAATATGGATGATTGATGGCAAAGAAATACCAATACTATAACTGGCCCAAACCAAAATCTGATTTCCAGACCCACCCAGAATTCAAATCCTGACCTGGACACACATTTCACATCTAGTCTGTATCTCCATAATGTGTTGAACTGGAGCCACAAATCAGAACCTAGGGCTTTGTGAAATTTGGGTCAAGATCTAAAATTGGCATTTGAGTTTATCATTTTGTAAAACGTTACCACAACAATCAGGAGCAGCTTTTTAACTATATTTATACTGAAATGCAATAGAAACAAAAGGATTGTGATGTTTTGATTACTCGGGCATGTTAAAAAATTCACTTTCTATACTTTCCAACAAGTAGAAAGCACTAGCTTCATGTTTGATTCATCCTGCCACAGTGCAATCTGTGATTTCTGCGGATACTGCATTTACAACAGCAACAGTCATGAGTTGCCAGTAACAATTTACAAGACAGGCTACATGTAAATGTTCTAAAGCACAACTTCAAACAGCAAATAAAGGACAAATTCTAACATAAAATCCCAAATTTCACCTAGGTTTCCTAAATGAAATAAATAGCAGTGGGAATTGACAGAAATCTTCCTGCTTTTAGGGGATAAGCTTATCAAACTCTGACACTTTGGAGTCACAAGAATCATCCTCAACTTGTGAAAATATGTCATATTCCCCTCCCCCCCAATATATTTATCTGTGTATACACAGGCAGATATGCAGAGGTCTGCTATTTTTTCCCCTCTCTCACCTCCCTTCAGAAATCCGAGTCTTCTGTTCATTCATTTTCATTCTGATACTTAAAAGAAAGAACACGGTGAATTGGGCCAGAATATATTTACTGAAAGCAGCATCTGACATTTTGATATTCAATAAATTCAGAAAAGGATAGCTTGGTGTATTGAGAGGATTTCCCCACCCATACTCCAAATTCTGTTTTCCTCATTAAAAAAAAAGACCACTTTAGTTTCATTCTCAACCTCTTGTATATTTGTATCTGTTTCTATCTAGTATTTATATCGCCCCCATCACTACAGTGACTGAGTGTCTGTTTCCCTAGGATATTAGAAAAGCAAGTTAAGTCTGTTATTAAAATGACAACCTTGTAGTAGGAAAAATACGGGATTTGTTTTTAAAGTAGTGAAGAAATATAGAAAATCTCTCTTTTGAGAGCCTTAGCTGGGATTGTGTTTTAATATCAATACCTTATAAAGTAAATGGTTAGAAATGGAATTGATCAAATATTGTATAGAGGAAGTCCAAACGTGCTACTCAGATACCCTGCTCTAAAATTGCAGCAACAGCAGTGCCTCTGAGTGGCATGATCCTAAGAGAGACATCTGCATATATGAACCAAATGTATTATTCATTTACAGTAGTGTGTGTCACTGGTTACTAAAAATGACATTATATGATATATGGAGTCTGACCAAATCTTTAGTTAATATCCTGATTAAATGCAGCAGCAAAGAAAATCTCTCTCCTCTGTGCCAATTTGAGAGATTTCCTGCAGTTGATCTACTGCATATATCTGTTAAAAATCAGATGTCTTCTCCCAAGACTTCAGGCTAATATTCTGCATACTCAAGGTTTCATCTAGAACCAGTGCCACCAGGATAGAGGAAAATGTATGGCCCTAATGTGCTGTCCTAATTTACGTGCTTTCCAAAGGATTACTCTCAGTTTGCAAATGATTGCATTCAAGCTGCTTTGCACAGATTGGGTATGGCAGCCTTGTCCTTGCTGGCAGATTGATTTTTTGACATCCTGCGACCCCTAGTGAAAGCCAAAGGTTGTCAACAGCAGCAGGCTCTTCGCCTCCAGCCTCTGCTCCTATTGTACCTGCCTAGGGACTTCTCAGGGAGCTGGCAAGCACAGTGCGGTCCTTGCAATGCATTAACTATTTCCAGGACACAAGTTGGAGAAGACAAAAATGTACCAGTATTAAGTTACTGAATAGCTACTAGAAAATAATATCATTAATATGCTGCCTCTAGTCTTATTAAAAATGGTTTTATTATATTGCAACAGTAGAAAAAAATGTTTATGAAACAATGTTGTCAGTGAAGAAGAAGTGTGAGGAACAAAATCCACTCTTTACGTTAACATTAATAAAGGAAGCTGTAGGTTACACTTCAGCAATCATATCTATGTAACTAGGTCTGTGCACAAAATAATGCCTATGCCTTTTCAATAAGGCCTTAATCTTCATTAGGAAGACCAGAAAAGTGTTTACTTGGTAGTGTAACAAAAAAACTCAGACCATAAATTCATTTTACTGCATCCTAGATTGGAGGTCAGTTTTTCCACCAGTATGCTTCCGTCCAATTCCATCTACATTAAATGAGTTACATCTGCTTATGACAGAGGCTTCTGGTTCAAAAATATACATGAATGGCTGAAAATTTAAGCCATAAAAGACAGAAAAGTAAAAATGAGATTTCCCTTAGCAACCCAACTTGGTCATATTGCATATATTTAGCATTTTTTGTTAGGTACACTGTTACGCTTTGATTTAGTATGTATATACATATACAACCATGGGTGCTGAAACCATGGGGGAGAGGGATAGTTATTCTTCTCTACCTCCCAGCCAGGAATATTGATCTGAAGCCTTTGGGAAAATGGGGTCTTGGATGAAGGAGGAGAGAGCCAGTTGGATATGCCTTTAAAGAAGACATGCCCTGTGAGATCTTTAAGACTCCAGGTGACATAATTGTACTATGGTCAAGCATTTTCGTCCCATGAAGTAAAAATGAACAGGATTGTATTGTAATGTTTTTGTGTACTATATAAATAATAATTTGGAAAATGTATGTTGATTAATCTAAGTCACATTTTCAATATTCTGATTGGCAGATTAGAAAACACTGCTGGTGTGTTGCTAATTTCCAGGTAAGGAGACTCTACACTACAAATCTACCTTTCATTCAGAGATAAGTTGTAGATCTAACATCTTTTATTATTAAATGGGTATTATTTGGGATTTTTTTTCTTTTATCTTGTTCAGAATTTTGGCCTTCCTTATTAATTATGTGGAAATTTCTATAGGCCTTTTTCTGTAGGGCACAGAAGCCATAGAGCAGCAAATCCATTATCATTCTGTACGGGAGAGAGAGACAAACCATGAAAAGGCTGTAAAACTGGACTCTGCATACTTCCTTAGGGCTATTGAGCCAGGTTCTAGCTTGATACCCTCTGCTGCAGCATGCAGGGAGGATAGATGGGAAGCTGGCGAAGGGGCAAAGTTGCCCATGGCTACCTAAATTCACTTTCAAAAACGCCTTCACAGAGTAGGGAATGGTAGACAAGTACATTACTACAACCCCATGAGCTGCAACAGCCCTGACAGATGTAGTATGCTATTTCTGTTGTTGACTTAGGTGGAACATTCCATCCCACCTGGTCCAAGCATAGGACTCCTGCAGAAATCTCATTTACTCAGTCTATGTTTAAGAGACCAAATATGGCATATACCAATTACTGAATTATCTGTTAATATCTGCCTAAGAGAATCTGAACTGATGAAAGTCAATGAAGAATGATATTATTTTTAATGTATCTGATTTTGTTCCAAAAGATTTGATCAAATCAACCAGTGATTCACTTAAGTAAAAGGTCCTGATGTATATAGGACCAGATTTTAGCAAAATAATCTAGATTATCATGAGGCTGCCTTGTGCCATACAAGCATCCTGAAATATTTTAAGGATTGCAGCAACATCACCATGTTAAGGCAGGATGACAGTGCATTGCAACTTGATAATGTTGTGTTGTCATATAGATCTTTACTTTGCTCTGGTTGTGACATAACAAATTTGGCCTGAGTTTGTCCCTGGTGCTGTCCAATAACATTATTAATGAAGACCAAGTGCTATTTATAGCCCATTTAAGAAAAGAACATAGGGAGGTAAACAGAGCAAGAAGCATTCTACAGTAATGGCTTTAACATTTATTTAGAGTAGAAATGCCATTATGATCTGCAAGTGCCAAACCACTAACCTACAGGGACACATCAGAGTTTTGACTGGCTCAGAACCAAAATTCTGAGGTGCATTGTATTTTAATTCATCCATGGGTTTCACCCTTGACATTTATTTGAATATAAATTACACTTCAATATATGTACATTTATGTGAAGATACATCTTCTTTAGAAAAAATTGTTTTTAAAGATTTGTTTAAACCATTATGCTCTTTTTCATTTTCCTCCCTTCGATAAATGTGTCTATAAGATGCGGCTAGCTGTACAGATTTATTTTTAGGTTGTCTCAAAACGTACTTAGAAGCTCCTATTGGTACAGTAGACTGCGGAGTTTTCTGTAACTCTGCAGCTGCAGAACCTTGTCTCTCCTGTACATTTGCCCTTGGGCTGTAGAATAAACAAAACAAGTATTTATAGCCATCCCCATATAGACAGATCTGATCACTGAAAAAGAAGGCAAGAAATTACATGCCACTTTCTGTAGCTATCTGGAGTTGTTTCTAATATTATTGTCAAGAAGATTGATGTCATCTAGCCTATCATAATCTCCTCTTCTTCTGTACATCACTGGTTAGGACTAGGAGAAGATTACTGTTTTAAGTGTTTAGTTTAAGAGTTATTTTTACAATTAATTAAATTTCCTTTATCTGACCAATTTAGAAACATCTTCCACTTAAATTACACTGTATTGCTACTGTTGACGTAGGGTCACCAAACAGGAAAGTCGGAGATACCACCTATAATGGGATTCTGTCCAATTGCAATATTTTAAGGAGCCATTGAATGCTTCCATGATTTCAAAAGATGCTTACACATTGATCTTGCATTAATAGATATTAGAGATGTAGAAGACCACCATTAGGTTGTCTAGTACATCCATCTGCCAGAGCAGGTTTATACTACAATGTCCGTTTCTAGCAGATTATTGGGATTTTAAAAAGTAGACTGACTAAAGCACTAACCATTTTACAATAGGAAACAATTGTGCACCTAGAGGATAGACTATAGAACTTAATAAACCTTTTCCTTATCTTTTTTTAAATTCTTTACATCCAGGAATCCTTACTCAGGGCCACACAGTTACTTTTAAGCCATGTCCTGAACTAGGGAGTGCAGTCTGGCTGTGCTGCAGCAGGGGACGGCATTCCTCCTAGATCTCCCAGTTTGCACACAGCACCATCACTCTTTCATTTGTGCAGAATACACTCCCCTCCGTGCTCAGCTAGCTTTGCAGGCCAGTGCCGCACATGGGACCTCACCCTCATTTTGAGGCTTCTTTTCAAACCGAGATGGGGTGTTTTAATAAAAGATATACTTTAGTTCAGACAGGAATTAATTCAGGGCGGTCCTATGACCTGTCTTACACAGGAAGTTAGACTCTAGATGATTATAGCAGTCCCTCCTGGCACTTTATTCTTTTCAGACTTTGGGGGCATCTACCACCAATGAGTGTGCCAGCAAGGAGAGTGCTTGCACTTCTCAACTGGATTGTGCCTGGCCCCTGTGTGGGAGTTCAAAGTGATTGGGTAGGTTCTTTGCCTACTGCCGGTCCCACTCCCCATCCCCTATTGTGCAGCCCAGGTCAAGTGCTAGTCGTGCTAGTGAGTAATTATCTGAGGACTGACCTCCAGTTTTGACTCCGGTTGCATAATTCTCCAAAGCAGATGATTAATCATCTCTCTTAAAAATCAGGCAAAAAGCCTTTTCTGACTTCTGTAAAAATATCAGAATTTGTCCAGACTCCATCAGAGGGGGTGACAGCCTGTCTCTATAGTAGCACTATCACATTGCTTTACTTGCCCTGTCCTTCCACAACAGAACAGCTTTGAGTGTTTGAACGAAAAGCCTTTTTAAAAATTGAATACAAAGTTGTTCGTGATTCTGGAGAAAGTCAACACCGAGCTAGAAAGTGACCTTTGAAGCACGGCTGGACTTACTTATGAGGAGAGACTGAAAAAACCAGAACACTGGCTTGGGACTTCTAAACTTTTGCCATTAATTTTATGATGTCCTATGTTAAGAGACCCAGGGATCATTTGATGAAGTTAATAGTCATTTTAAAACAATGGTAGAATTTTAGAAACCTCTTGATATTATCTAAAAGAAAATCTGTACAGAAAATAATATAACAGTTTTAAGGTCAGATATCTCGGGAGCATACAAGACTATGGATGATCTTGGACATCTAGGAATATCCCCTTTGCAGTGATATACAGTATAGCAAGGTATCAGTCCTAAAACTTGTCTCTAGTCAAGGACTGACTATTGCCTCACTTGCATCTCAGACCAGTGTAACTTGGGAGAAAATCTCCCTTTGGAGCAGGCACTCCCTCTTACTATGTGTTCGTGCAGTTCCAAACACAGTGGGAACCCCGTCTCAGTTGGTTAGGCTCCCGTGTAATAAAAACAATAACAGACGCCAGAAAGATTATTCCTTATTTATACCAAATGTGAGAGAGGAGAATTAAACTTGGTGGCTTCACTTCACTGGTGGTTAAACAGATTTGTAAAATAAGGGGAGTCAGGAACACCCACAGGACTCAATTACAATGAGAAGATTATAATTGGGCCAGGTGTGAAAGATGTGTGTGAAATGTGATACTGGTTATATCTGGGAGCTGTTTATTTTGTTTTGTTTAAATTCCTTTACAGATCAAAGTATGCTAGATAAAGTTTCCTTTTAAACCATTTGAAAAGGAAGTTCTTCTCAAGTGTAGTTTGATACGTAGTGAATACTACAGCAGGAAACAGTGTGTACACAAAACAAATTCTTAAAACAAGTTAGCAAACGTAATTATAAAGTCATTTACATTGGACTGTGCTTTGTGTTTTTCTGTAACAATGAGTGTTGAAGACTAACTTATTATGGTTAGTAAATGTATTTGTTTGATAGCTAGGAAAACGCTATACACACACATTACATACAAAAACATTGAAAGAACATAAAAATTGCAAAGTCAAGCACTCAAAAGTTAGCAAATGCCAGAATTACGTTTCTTTGAACAATTCAGGCCCCATGTGCATATGCATTATGATACAGTCTGTGATAGAATCATAGAATCATAGAATCATAGAATATAAGGGTTGGAAGGAACCCCAGAAGGTCATCTAGTCCAACCCCCTGCTCGAAGCAGGACCAATTCCCAGTTAAATCATCCCAGCCAGGGCTTTGTCAAGCCTGACCTTAAAAACCTCTAAGGAAGGAGATTCTACCACCTCCCTAGGTAACGCATTCCAGTGTTTCACCACCCTCTTAGTGAAAAAGTTTTTCCTAATATCCAATCTAAACCTCCCCCACTGCAGCTTGAGACCATTACTCCTCGTTCTGTCATCTGCTACCATTGAGAACAGTCTAGAGCCATCCTCTTTGGAACCCCCTTTCAGGTAGTTGAAAGCAGCTATCAAATCCCCCCTCATTCTTCTCTTCTGCAGGCTAAACAATCCCAGCTCCCTCAGCCTCTCCTCATAACTCATGTGTTCCAGACCCCTAATCATTTTTGTTGCCCTTCGCTGGACTCTCTCCAATTTATCCACATCCTTCTTGAAGTGTGGGGCCCAAAACTGGACACAGTACTCCAGATGAGGCCTCACCAATGTCGAATAGAGGGGAACGATCACGTCCCTCGATCTGCTCGCTATGCCCCTACTTATACATCCCAAAATGCCATTGGCCTTCTTGGCAACAAGGGCACACTGCTGACTCATATCCAGCTTCTCGTCCACTGTCACCCCTAGGTCCTTTTCCGCAGAACTGCTGCCTAGCCATTCGGTCCCTAAATGGATAGGATTCAGTCTTTTAATTATATGATCACATACTACTTTTTCTCCGCAAGACTCCTGCCTCATTCCGCGAACAGGATAGACAGTGCTCATTTAACAAGCAGCTATTCAAGATTTTGTTGTTTTCTCCC